CCCGTCGGTTTGGGAAAATTGTTCCTTTCTCTGAAAAAGGGGGTAAGTCTCCCATTATTTCGCTAATTACTTTCCACATAACTTTAAACGTACCCACCTCTCCTGTCAAAATAGTGGCTGCTATAAACAACCGTTGTTTTGGGCCTGTTGAGTGTACTCTTTAGTTGATAAGGACGTAAACCAACTCATACGACTGAACTTACACAGAGCATTGTATAAGCGCGTAACAGCTAGTCTTCGAGCGTCCACTATCTCAGTTGTTTCAGACTTGGCTATTAACTATTTGGTCACTTTGCGACTTGACAGGCCCTCACCTGATCGCGATGCCTAGCACGTTGTCGGTAGGGCTTCATTGTGAGTCCGATTTTACCTGTAATTAGTAATAAAACTCTACTTCCACATTTTCAGTAGGTCGAATTTCCGCCAATCTAAACACTTCCTTGATTGTGTTGACCAATAGGAATTGGTCAATAGACTTCTTTTATATCTTTTCCATCCCTTCCGCAAGCTTTTTTAAGCCCCCTAACTCATTTGGCTGGAGCATTCACCGTACTAAAGTCCTCCTCTTGCTGGCATGGGTTCGAATCCGACCGAGGCCGCCGATTTTTTCACAACTGGGTCACACTAATTATTCCACTCCACTAAATAACCCATACGAGATATTTTTTTCTCTCCATCCGTAGAACTGACGTCAAAGTCAACAAGTACTATATTCTCTACAGGTGTGACACCGACTGTCACAACGGGGGGCTTTACTGTATTGCCTCTTGGGTTAATTGCAATGCTATGCCTCCAAAAATGTTCTGTTTAACTTATTCTTCGATCTCCTGTCTCGGTAGGCCGAACCGCAGGTACGCAGTTGCCTGAACGAACTGCGACTTAGTCAGATGTTTGACCTCTCCACCGCAGCACTGGAGGGTTCGCGAGGCTACTGGAGGGCCTACGAACCGATTGTGCGTCTGGGCATTCTCTCGGAGGTGGAAGTAATTGCTGGTCTCTCGGCCCAACTTGCGGCACAAACTCGGGACGGAGTTCTCGCCTCCGATTTTATCTCTCAACAGAGAAAGTCTGATGTGAGTCTCTTCCATTTCTATGGTACTCCTGCTTTTCTTGCCTTGTGTACATGCTACCATTAGATGGAATTGTGGTGCCTACCGACACCGCGGTCCTCTTCCGCCTCCATTAGAAGCCTATTCTAATGACATGAGAAGGTTTAAAGTAAACACCTCACTCTGGTGAATTACTCTCTTAAAAATTACAAGAAGCAGTTGTGAACGCTCTAGGTTACTTACTGTCATTTCGGGTAAAAACAGTACTCTTTAGAGGTAACTAATTGGTCTGCTTATGTCTTCCTAGGTTATCGACTTTTATACTAGAATTGAGTAAACCTGCCCCTTCCCACATCATACTGCTGCAGTTTGTTCGCTGGCCTTTTCATTGCATGGATTGCGATCTTCATTCATCAAAAGCGATGATCCTAGTTCATGCTTATTGAGGCAACCAGATTTGCTCTGCGGTTAAGGGGTGCTTGGCAGTAATCTAGGGAGCTGGCTGTCGTCTAGTTAGCATTTGCCGCGATCCAATCACGAGTTGCTGTTTGTACGCGGGTCTTCAATACCGCGTATGTAGATATGAGATTTTATTCAAAGAATGCTTTTTAGCTAATCGCCAGTTTCCGTCTCTAGGCATGTCCAAACTGAGGGACTCCGTCCCCTAGTCAGTGGATTTCTCTACGTAAAGTCAGTGCTTTCTGATACTTACTTGTCCTGCAGCGGTAATTGAATTGTGACTTTCTTTTTTTCCCCTCCCACCCGAGATCAGCTTCTTATAGACAATCTTCTCGCCTGGCTAGAGGCTCGATTCCAGCAGAGTAGACCCACGCTGCATACACTGGAACCGGTGCTGGCAACTCGTCACGCTGTTCTTCAACTAGCAACTTCGCGTCTGCGGGCTGATTTTAGCCCCGACTGTCTCGCCACCACGTCCCTGACTCCGATCACCAGGCTGCAGCGTCACCAACTATTTCGACTGGAGTCTGCCCTCGCGGACAGTTGGCTGCAACGGGCTAAACTTGCTCGAAAGTAATGTTTTACGCCATTGTGCTCCACCTCATCATCCTGAGTAGGTTAAATACCGTGTAACGGCCCCTCCTGACTATGCTGCTCCGACTCCTCCTCCTTCTTCTCCTCCTCGCCGCGATGGAGGCCCACCCGGCGGGGTTCCGGATCC